TGGGTTGAAGTGTATCAATGAGCGTGTACGCATAGAAGTGTCCATAACGGATGCCGACCTGCGATTGATAGGATGAGCTACTTGCTGTTAACGTGGCAGGATATGGGTAACACTTACTCCTCCCTTCTGGTCAAACACTTTGACAACATCTTGACTCCTAATAGCACGATCCCCGACAACAACGAAGCTGATCGTCGGGACGCGGCTCAGACCAGCTCTTTCTTCGCCGACGATTCTGACGCCTCGGGAAGTCTTACTCTTCAGGTATGTCAACAAAGGTGACACGAGCGTCTGCTCATGCTCTGCAATCAACCTGAACGATTCCTCTAAGGACTGTGATTGGGATAGTGAACGTAAGTATTTCGGAATTGCCGTGATTCCGTAGACGAGCTCATATCCTGTGCCTCCAGGCTGGAGCTTGTAGGTTTTATCGTCGACCTTGAGGAAGTGATGCGCGAGAGATGATAATGAAGACTTCAAGCAAGCGGCTTTGGCATAGAAAATCGAGGTATGTGGTCCATATACCTGCCATGCTACCTATCAGCCGACGTAATTTCCCTAGCATGGTGAGATATCACCTTGTATGCTGAGAAAAAGCAGTAGTCGACATCCCAAGCCTGTACATCGACTTGGCGATGAGGTGCGTAGGCAACGCAATCGACAGAAGTCTCTATCTTACGTGCTCCCAGCTCAGAAGCCTTTGCACGGATGGCCTTGATCACTTCCTGAACAGGGATGACTGAGCCGAGGATGTTGGAGCAAGCAGTGAATGCTACAAGTCGCGTCTTGGAAGTGATAAGAGGCAATAGATCCTCGACGAGGAGTGAAACAGCGTAGGGATTGTCAGAACCTGGTGCTGCTGCAGGGTGCCATACTTTGACAGTAAGACCCTTACGAGCTGCCAGCCTCTTCCAGGGCCCAGCATTTGCTATCATTCATATCAATCAAGGATTGTTTGGGCTAAGGGGTCGAGCTGGATACCTTCATGCTCCCCTGTAATGATGATCTCCTCATCATCGTGTACATCGGCTTCTATTGCTCGTGCGAGATTCTCCACAACCATGGTCGAGCTGCTTCCAAATCCAACTTCATCGACGCTGGACGCATTGAGTAGTTGACGGGCTGCTTCGACACCTTGTGCAACTCTATCTGTGCTAGTGACCGATACTGAGTAATCTGCACCGAGTTGCACGTTGGTATGAAGCAAATAGTCCGAGATACGGTCTACAACGGAGGACAGGCACTGTGAGCCTCCAGCATTATCTGCGAAAATAAAGGCCGAGTTGGCCAGGGAGGGGAAGTTGACTCGCACAGTGTCGATATCCAGTGTCGACATGACTGTTCGTATTGGGAGGGCAGAGGGTAGCTGTCTTGAAGTCACTCGCAGGCAAGTTTGTATCACAGGATCCATTTGGGGGCCGGCCGATGAAGGACGACTTACCCATGGGCTACCACATGTGTGTAGTTCTCTTGCTTCCCGAGTCCCGACCGCGAGGCCACTTCACATACTGACTTATGTTGGTATATTTACATAGTTACACCTACGCAACAAGGATAGCATTTTTCGGGTTCATTGTCAGCTCCCGACTCGTCGCAGTCTACGCCTCAACCAACCTCAGCTTCTAGCTTCACATCAGCAAATCTGTAGAATGTAGTCCTGGCTATATATGGAACGACGGAATTGGCCGCGCGCCCGCCTGCTTTGTATGGCAATGTCGCGCGCGACGCTGGGCACCATCGGCGGTAAGCCAATGTGATCACGTATCGCGCTGCGACGTCCCTCGACGTCCCTTCGCAATGATATACCTCGCTCGACGACAGGAGCTGTGGTCCCTTGCGCCCTGCATCCGCACATCAGCGCTCGTCATGCCACAAAATCTCCAAGGCATCGCTGGCCTGCCCTAATGTTGGCGCCAGCTCACATAAAAATCCACCTCCCTCAGTTCCGCCTCTTGCACTCTCTCCCCTCGCTCTCTCCCTTCGCTCCCCGCTGTCATCTTCTATACTGGCTCCTCCCCTTGGGCCCTCGGCACACTGCCTCTTGATTCTTGAACCTCCAACTTAGGGCCTGTTCAAGATGTTTCCACTGGTATGCCCCCGATCGCTTCGCTGTTACTCCCGACA